CCCCCCAGCTCTGCCGGTGCCCCTCACTCCTGACCCACACCCCTGCTAGCTCAGCCCTGCCCCCCCAGCTCCCCTTCTTAGGTAATGTTCTATCTCTCCCATCTGTCTGTGTTTCCGGGGGGGGGGGTTTTTGTGAAACCGCCAAACAGGCAGATCTTGACTTTTTTGCCTTAAATGGCTCCAATTTGAACCTGGGGCGGAAGCAGGCGTGTAAAAGGGGAAGTGGGTTTGGGGGGAGGAGGGGGGGCAGGTCTGAGACAGCTCAGCCCTAGCCCAGTCCAACGGGGCTTGTGTGGTAATGGGGGGGGGGGATCATGTCAGGTCACAGCTGGATCCGCAGTGCAATGAGCCCAACGAGAGAGACACAGCGAGTAGCGGGGGCTGCGGGTCGGGAGTGAGGGGCACCGGCTGGGCTGGTGGGGAGGGGTGCGCTGGGCGGAGTTACCTTGGCCAGGGGCAGCACCATGAAGGCCCCTCCCCCACTGGCCTCCACGATCATGGCCAGGAATTTGGGGTTCACGGAGCAGAAGCTGCTGTCCCAGGTGGTCTGCGAGATCCGCACGTCGTCGTAGCACTGGTCGGCCTTTGCCGGCTGCCCGAACACATGGCGAAACTTGCTGCTGCGCACCACTTTCCGGCTCATGGCGGCTGGGGAGAGACGCAGGGTCACCGGTGCCCCTCACTGCCGACCCGCAGCCCCTGCCAGCCCAGCCCTGCCGGTGCCCCTCACTGCCGACCCGCAGCCCCTGCCAGCCCAGCTCTGCCGCTGCCCCTCACTGCCGACCCGCCAGCCCCTGCCAGCCCAGCTCTGCCGCTGCCCCTCACTGCCGACCCACAGCCCCTGCCAGCCCAGCCCTGTCCCCCCAGCTCTGCCGCTGCCCCTCACTGCCGACCCGCACGCCCCCTCGCCCCCCCAGCCCTGCTGGTGCCCCTCACTCCCAACCCGCAGCCCCTGCTGTTCTATCTGTCTCTGTGCCACCCCCCCCCCACGGTTACCTCATGAGACCTCCTTTCCCAGCTGCCCCCAGAGATCCCCTCTCCAGCATTGGAGGAGGAGGGCACAGAGGATACAGCCCCCCACCCAGCCCAGTGATCCCCTCTGCTGAGACCCCTCCCCATGCCCCAGGTAGCTGTCTACACCATCACCCTGCCTGCCCCTCCCAGCCAGCTGCAAGCGTCTTCACAGCTCAGGAGATGATTCCCCAGGGCTCGGCAGGGAGCCGGGCTGGGAGGAGGAGACCCAGACTGCTCAGAAATGGGCCAGCCAAGAGAACCCAGGAGTCCTGGCTCCCACCCCCCTCCCAGAGACAGAACCCAGGAGTCCTGGCTCCCAGTCCCCTCCCAGAGCCAAGAGAACCCAGGAGTCCTGGCTCCCACCCCGCTCCCAGAGACAGAACCCAGGAGTCCTGGCTCCCAGCCCCCTGCTCTCACCGGCTCCAGATGCTCTGGTGTCACAGTGAATCCGGAGGCTGCAGATCAGAGCGTTTTAACGCCCTTCTCTGTCACAGCTTGGAGGGGGTGGCGCCTTAAAGGGACAGGACAGTCACAGGCGCAGGGAGGGGGGGCTGGGGGAGGAGCCTTCGACACCCCCCCCTTCACTTCCCCCATCTGGGACCCAGGGGCTGGCTCACTCTGGGAGGAAGGGAACGGGGGTGGAAATAAGGTGTAGGGGACACAGCTGTAAGAGACCGAGCTGGGGCACGGGACCCAGGTGTCCGGGCTGTCAGCACAAGGACCCAACCCCCAGCGGCTCTTCACTGAACTAGCCAACCCCCACTCTTCCTTTTCTGCCTGTCTGGCCTTCTCCAGGCCCCTCCGTCCAGGCATGGCTGGCCCGTGTCTCCAGACACCTCTCTGTCTGTCTGTCTGTCCATACCCATAGACCGCCTCTACCAGCCTACCTACCTATTCACACATCTATCTATCTATCTATCTATCTATCCCCATCCACCCCCTCTATCTATCTATCTATCCCCACACACACCCTCTATCTATCTATCCATCTATCCATCCCCATCCGCCCCATCTATCTATCTATCCCCTTCTACCCTATCTATCTATCTATCCCCACACACACCCTCTATCCATCCCCATCCACCCCCTCTATCTATCTACCTACCTATCCCCTTCCACCCTCTCTCTCTATCCCCATCCACCCCATCTATCCCCACACACCCCCTCTATCTAATCTATCTATCCCCACACACCCCCTCTATCTATCTACCTACCTATCCCCTTCCACCCTCTCTCTCTATCTGTCCCCATCTATCTATCCCCATCCACCCCCTCTATCTATCTATCTATCCCCATCCACCCCCCTCTATCTATCCCCATCCACCCCATCTATCTATCTATCTATCCCCACACACCCCATCTATCTATCTCCCTATCCCCATCCACCCCTCTATCTATCTATCTATCTATCTATCCCCATATACCCCATCCATCCATTCATCTATCTACCTATCTCCATCCACCCCATCTATCTATCTGTCCCCACACATCCTATCTATCTATCCCCATCCACCCCCTCTATCTATCTATCCCATCCACCCCTCTATCTATCTATCCATCCCCATATACCCCATCCATCCATCCATCTATCCCCATCCACCCCCTCTATCTATCTATCTATCTATCCCCATACACCCCATCTATCTATCCCCATACACCCCATCTATCTATCTATCTATCCATCCCCATATACCCCATCCATCCATCCATCTATCCCCATCCACCCCCTCTATCTATCTATCTATCTATCCCCATACACCCCATCTATCTATCCCCATACACCCCATCT